CTGACAGCAGCTAGAGGGCACTGGTGTGAATACACTCCGGTGCAACTTACCAGCATATATCCTGATTCCTACCTTAAATATTGGTTTCTTTATTCGTCGGGGGGCGGCAGGTACAGGCAGGATCGGTGACCTGGTGTCCTCATAAACGTGGAACTGTTGCTTAGAGGCCGTTCTTGGTGCTTTTCGTGACGAAGCAGTGGCTTTGACCTTTTGAACTGGGGTGAACGCCAGAGTCGGCACCGCGGTGTTGAAGTCAAAACAACTGGGCTCCTGTGCAAACGGCTTTGACCTCACCGTCACCGGAGTCATGGGTACGACTCCTTTCCCTCTGGTTGAGGAACTTGTTGGACCTGGAGTTTTGGCCTTCACAGCCCGGGTCTTTTTTAATTCCTTCGTCTTGTTAACATCCTCTGGGTTTCTGAGTTGGTCTTTAGATTTCTTCAGCAGCGCGAAGGCGTCCGTGCGTTTCTGCTCGGATTTGAGCTCCTTTGGTGGATTCCAAGTCCACACATTTGAAAACAGCTCCTCCGGGTGACACGCTTTTTTGGAGGCCAGTCTCATCAGTGACACAATGGCTTTAACTGACATCAGACCTGCTCTGACGGGTCTCAACAGAGGGGACGTCATCGAGTCAACAAAGGCCAAGCCGGCGTCCAGAACCTTCCATATTCCACAGATGCTGTTCAGCCTCGGCTCCAGACCACACAGGGCCATGTCTAGGTAGACACGGCCCACAATGCACTGCATCAAGGAGGGTTTAAATGAGCTGGTTGTATTTGCAGCAGAAGAGAAAATCTTGGCCAGTTTCGAGGCCAGTTTTTCAGAGATTCTGTTGCAGCGAGATATCGTCGCCCACTGAAGTTTCAAACCCACTTTGGCGTTGTTGGGATCCAAACTGAGAAGCAGATTTGCCTGCGTTGCTGCCCAGCGAGCAGTTGCACGACCCAGACTGGGCTCAGAACAGCAGGGACACTGACAGTTGGACGCATGTTCCAAGGAGGAGAGCCAACTACGAGGCTGGGACTTAAGGGGAGGCGATCCTGAAATATTCCTAGGAATGGGTTCCTTTGTTGTCCATCTGGTTTTCAGGATGTCTTTGTAATCATCCTGTTCTGCAGGAGAACTGGGTTGAGTTTTCTGAGCCGGGCGACCTTTCCTGGGTTTGATCTTCACCTCGGCCTTTTGGACTGGATCAGAAAAATCTGTAAAAAAAAAA